ACCTTTCATAATATTCATGGGAGAAATGTTTTTTCAGATTTTTTTTTAATGATGGAACCATGGCTTTGTAGCTATGATAACTTTCAATTCTCTAAAATTTTCCGCATGTCAAAGAAAACATTTATTGATTCAGCAGAAATGATGAATAAAGAAATTAGCAAAACCGTATACAGGTGGATATCATCTAGTGAGTTTATATCGAGATATTTTAATATTCTTGTGGTATATGGCTACACAGGATACTTTGTTAAGCATAGGAACTACATTTAAAGTGTCCCCAACAACCGTAATGAGTATAACAAATAAGGTGCTCCACTGTATGGTAAAACTGAAGTCAACCTGTATCATTTTTCTCAAAAATGAAGCTGAAGTACAATAACAATATCCAATACCCGGCAAAATTCTAACTTGTCACATTTCAAATAATAACCAGAAATATAAAACTACTCTTGAGTTGGGTAAATACCACAATTTTGCGGTGATACCTATGACATATAACAGCTGATTCGTGACGTCACGGATCTTATAACCAAACTGATAACTACACTCGCTTGAACTGATTGGTAAATACCAACCCAAAATGGTAAATACCATTTCCATTTGGTTATCCGCTTGAATTTGATTGTTTTATCATTTTTTTGACGTTGTATAGTTTTTTTTAGGTTTAGGTTATTGCTCTGTGATGCAATGATTGTTTTTTGTTCTTTTTTAATAACAATGCAGTACTTTTGATTGTATCTTTGTTGTGTTCCAAGTACCTACTCTATTTTCTTTTTTGTTCATAATGCCAGACAGCCTGCACATCCAGTTTTCTCAGTGTAAGCAACAATAATTCTCATTGTCCCAGGAATGTTAAACAGTAAACACACGCTTATCTGACCACAAATTGTTCAAAGCTCCCTGCTGGTGCTTATATCAACTACATTCGTTATAAGTACCCAAACGACAATGGCATTTGAAAATTCCGCCCCAATTACAAATACATACGTATTTGCCCCACTGGCACGTCCCTGTGTCAAACTACGCTGCACCTTCCAATCAATGTCGCACTGGAATCACGCCAAATGCAACCAAAGCAACACTTTACCAATATCACATGCAAGATTTGCCCGAAATCCGAGAAAAATCCACCGAAAGGCAACTGTCACAATTCGCAAAATTGGTCACTCGGTCACCACTAGTAAGGTTATGTACACCTCAACACAAATCGATACGTCATGAAAAAACGCTGGGCAGACACATGTTGCGCCTGCCGCATCGACGCTCTGTCTCTGTCTAGCGCACGTGGGAAGAGAGAGACGGATATAGATGCGGTGTCGGGCTATGGCACTCTATCGGAGTCGTCGCTGTATGTTGATCGCAAGACGCTTTGTTTTTAATCGGCGGATCGATAAGGCGGTGAATCTGAATGGTAATAACACGTGTTGATCAGTAAAAATCATTAGGTAGGTTTTTACAGCAGAACCACCAATTTAGATCATTAGATAACATCTTTCCCTGACACAGAGTTAAAATCCGGGTTGTTGGAAAAATCAGCAATATATTACATCACCCAGGGTGTTCCAGAATATATGGATCCATGCCGACCACTAAAAGATAATGTGACAAGTTCTTATAAATAAAATTCCTACGAAGCTCTTGAGATAGGGGCCGTTCAAGTATTACGTGAGCACTATGGGGGGTCTTTGCTTTGCTTATTTTGGATGACATGGGGGGGTAGGGGAGTCTAGATGATGATTACGTCATCGGTAGTTATTTACTCTTTTATAGGAATGGCAACCCTCACATTGTCTTTGCTTGAAAACGAAACGCATTTTCAGGGATTCCCGCAAATAATTCATACGTTTAGTGAACAGCGCGCGGTAATTCCCCTACTCGCTTTAGAACCAAGTAGCGGAATTACCGCGCGGTGTTCAGTTGTCTAAATTTCCTCTATCAGTGTATTGTTTTGTTTGGATACTATAGCGAGTAGACGTATTGTAAGCATAGTGAAGCAAGTTAACATTTATGTTACCATTGATTCCATTAGTCAAAGTTTAATGTTTAAATAAAATGTCGTTTCACATAGACATATCCAAGTTATACCAAAAATTGTTTGAAAGTTTTAAAAAATCTCATACAAGTACGAAAGTACAAAATGTACAAAAGTTAGTTAACGAAGTGTTGGGAAATTACAAATTACAAGCAAAATCCGACAAGGAACTAGATATTATTGTATCTAAGAGAATCGAAGAAGAATTGCAAGCGCCGGTGACTAAGAATAAATTCAATCAACTAAATTTTTTTCTAAGGTGAGTGACGAAATCATTTTAGGTACCTATGAGTACTAGAAATATTAGAAATCGCAAAAAAGTTTCTCTTTACTAATTAGAAAATATTATGGCAAAGTATAGAGGTAATATTCATTATATTATAGATTTATTTCTTATGATTGATTCCGTCAATTGGTCACAAAGTACAGGATGTTAGTTTTATATATACATTTTTTTCGTCATCCGACATTCGACATCCGTCATCCGTCATCCATCAAACTAACACCCTGTATTTTGTGACCGGAACGAATTGCTCGTTTAAACATATTAGGTTTACAGCCATAGGGTTTTGTATTTACCATATACAGGGTGACTTCGAAGTTGAGTCATTTATTTTAACAGTGAGTAGATCTGATCAAAAGAAATGTTTTTCCTTTACCATTTTTCTGGTAAAATTAAAATAACAAAGTTATCGCCCTTTGGAAGTTTGAGTACCGCCCTGTCTCAATAATAATATTATGTGCTCGTGTTTGGCAATAACGGATATAATCCGCCTTATCGGTTCATCGCATCGGAAACAAAAAAGCGAAAGAATTTGGAACGATGTTTTTACAATTATTTTATTCAGTTGTATACAGTCAGTGTCAGTCGGTAACGCGTGAGTGAATAGTAGTGTCTGTTGCGTGGCTCGAACGAAATCAAAAATGGCACATGTTTACGAAAATGCTGAACTTGTGGACATGATTCTTATTTACGCGGCATCACGGATTTATGCGGATCGGTTTCCCAATCGAGTGCAACCAACCCCTCGTGCCTTTGTTAATGTAGTACAAAGGGCTCGTGAATCAGGTGACTTAAGACCTCACAGGGGAGGGCATTCCGGTGCTCCAAGACCGCACGATCAAATACAGGTCCGCACTGAAATACTTGTCGGGAGGATACTTTATAAAACAAGGTAACATTTTTTTTTATTTTTTTTTTATTTTTACACACATATGTTGGTTTATCTTCCTTCTACAATCATTATCTGAAAATTAATGACTCAACTTCAAAGTCACCCTGTATATTGCCATACTTTGTATTTATGTAGCTTAATAAGAGAATCTTTAGCATAGAAAGTTTTTTTAGGCAAAATGTAAACCTGCAGAAAAAACACAGTCAGCTTCAAATATTAAAAAAGAGGAAGAACATAAAATAATACCCGGTAATGAATCACAACAGCAATGCGAAATTAATGAAAATACAGATAAACAGAGAGCAAAACCTTTTCAGGAAGCTGTAAAAAATAAGATTGCTCTACTCGAAAAAAATCTGAATGCTTCGTATTCTACCAGAGATACTATGCCAAGCCGTGCTGAAGTTGATAAACAGATCATTACGTTGTGCGAGGAAATAAAAACAGCAAAACAGTCTTTAAATAGGAAGGTTCAAAACGCAGTTGCCCAGAAGAAACACAGAGATGGTATAAAAAGAAAGTTAGAAGATATTTGTCATGAAAATCCAGAAATAAAAAAAATACTATCTTTGAGGGATTCAGTGGGACGTCCTAATCTTGAAAGCAATCAACATTCACTATTGAAAACCATCGCGGATATAGCTTTATTTGGGAGTGCAGCAGATGATAGAAGACGAACGGAATCAATTCGCAGCGCAAAAACTCTTGATGAACTCACACAAGAATTACGTAAAATAGAATTTGACATTAGTCGCAGTGGGACATATCTTCGTTTGATTCCCAGAAAATCTAATTCTGCAGAGGGACGAAGACATGTATCGACAGTCACTGTTAAGCTCATTCGGGCTCAAACTGATCACCACAAAAGCCACTTAGATAGCAAGTTCACTAAATCACATAAATCCATTATTCAGAGAGCATAGCATCCATACTTGGACCAGATCAAGTATTTTTCATATCTCAAGATGATAAAGCTCGAGTCCCTATTGGGGTAACTGCGGCAGATAAGCAAGCACCTCTTCTAATGCACATGGACTATAGAATCAAATTGCCTGATCACGATTGGGTAATCGCTGAGCGTCATAAATTAATACCATCTGTTTATGCTGATATCAAAATCACTTCCAATATGCTAGGACAACCGCAAGCCGTTGGATATTCTGGACCAACATATATCGCTATTCGAAGTGGAAAGCATAGTTCATCTACTGCTAATACTCATGCTCAGGATTTCGAGACGCTTCTCGAACTTGAAGAGTTTCGACCATTAGCTAAAACTGACCATGGACTAGTAAAACCGGTGGTAATCATGACGGTTGATGGAGGGCCAGACGAAAATCCACGTTATCAAAAAGTCATAGGGTATGCTATACAACAGTTTAAGCGACATGATCTCGATTCATTGTTTTTAGCTACCAATGCTCCTGGAAGAAGTGCGTATAACAGAGTAGAGCGCAGAATGGCTACTCTTAGTCGGGAAGTGGCTGGTTTAATATTGCCTCATGACCATTTTGGGTCTCATTTGGATGAACGTGGCGTGACAATTGATGAACGTTTAAAAAGATATAATTTCGAATTTGCAGGAAATGTATTAGCTGAAGTATGGAGTTCAATGGAAACTGATGGCTATAATGTTAATGCAAAATATGTTGGGGCAGGTGAACAAGATCTTCCTGATTTTCCAGACATTAAATGGTATTCAGAACATGTGCGTGAGAGCCAATACTTGCTTCAAATTGTAAAATGTAGAAATACAGAATGCTGTCGTCCAAGAAGTGGCCTATTTAGATTACTAGACAGTAGGTTTCTTCCACCACCTGTAAAAGTAAAAAAAAAACAGTTGATGACTTGGTTTTGGATGAAGGAGGGCAATTTCTTAATCCTCCAGTCAATTTAGCTCTACGCTTAAGTGCTTCACTCAAAGATTTCCTGCAAATGCCCTACGATTATTTTTGTCCGACGGTAAAATTGAGGCTATCAAGTCGAACATGCAAAACGTGTGGTCTTTATCATGCTTCCGTCATGTCGCTGAATCGTCACATCGAAAATATCCATAAAAAAGTAAACACGCACACTGATAGGAAAGTTAGACCTGTAAGAATCGCTGCTCGTCGTGCTAATGAACTGATGTGCATTATTCAAAATTTAGAGCACCATGATGTTGAATGGCTCGATGAGAACGACATAGACATTCCAAAATCCGATGAAAGCGAGCAAACTCACAACACTGAGCAGCAATCGAAGCAATCCAATGTCATCGAAAACTTGGCTTCGGGTTTCATGGACTGAAAACTGTTAATTTGAATTTAATATATGTACCAAAAATTTAAAATAAGTTTGTTATGTTAGTAATATATAATATTTTTCTCCTTCACGCTATGTTAAATACCGATCAGTAAAACATAATCTCTATCCTAAATCTATTTTCTTATTATTCAAATTATAATTATAACGTTATAATTATAATATTAAAAAAAACAATACATTAATTGACAAATGTTTACGTAAGCATGGGGGGAGGGGGTAAGAGCTTTGCTTACTTTTGCTGACAAGGAGGATGGGGGGGGGTAAATAATTGTAATAAATCTGCTTACGTAATACTTACATACAATACCTACATACCAGTTTTTAAAGCTCCTCTGAAATACATAACTTATTTTGAATAACTCCGTAAAGAGAAGAACATATCTGTGAGCCTCACATGAGGGCGTCATTATTGTATAATCAACTCGTTTAGATATAAATAAATGACTCAACTTTGGCATGTTCAGAAAACCTGACCATTTAATTAAAAAAGCATAATCTTCGACATGGAATAATATTTTCTGAGGAAAACACAGTGATGTATCGATCTGGTTTTGTCAGTGTTACTGGATCCAATACCTATACTCGTACCGGCTGCGCCATTTGTTTGAAAATTATTGATTTTCTTAATCACTGACCCAAAGACACTAAGATATAATTTTGAGATCACTTAATCGTGTTCTAGGTTGAGATTAGATATAGTTCTGCTTGAACAAATAAGCAAATTTCTTCCGCAAGGCATATACACCAAAGACTCAACATGACAGAACTATTGGGATCCGAAAAAATGCGCCTCTAGCAAATAGGATTAGGTGCTGAAAACGTACGATATGCGTCAGCGTCAGTCGCGTGAGTATTCAATCCCACAGGCACCGCGCGCCATGCAGCTAAAGTTGGCATAATTTTTCCACTTCACGTTAACGTGTCATACAATAAATAGTGTCCCCACTAGACGTTCAAGAGTATTGTTTTTCAATAAAATGGTAAGTTAGTAGAAGCAAGTTCCTCCTCCCCCTCACTCTTCAATTCTCAGTTGGCGGTAGAATGTAGAAAACAGTTGGAAATTCGGTGAAAGTTGGCAAAGTTTCCAAAAAAGTTGGTAGGCTTTCTCCCTAGCCGCCCCCTCTAGAGCACAAGATGAGCGGCAGCCCTTAGGCCACTGAACCCTAACCCTATTTTGCCCGTATTTAAGGGCGTTTCCAGCTCAAAACCGATGGGAGGGCACCTTCAAAATATTTTTTGGTAAAAGCTCGACAAACCCTATCTACTTAACTATGCCTGATATTTTCCCTTCTATTTACATTTCATTGTTTTATCCATATATACAGGGTGTCCCGCGAGGAAAGGGAGAAAATTTGTCTACGTGTTCCTCAGGTCAATTCGAGTGGAAAAGGTCGGATGAACATGGGTCCGCAAATGTTTCCTTATCGAGATAATGATATTTTTATTTTTAGGATGCTAATGGTGGGAAAACCACAATATTGTTAGAAAATTACTTTTATTTAACATAAAATTACTAGGTACAATAAAAATAACTATTCACACTAGTTGTTCAAAGTGTTCACCTTCACACTGTAAACATAGTCTAGCCGGTTTAATAATGTGACTGGTGGCTTTCCCAATAAGAAGACGATTACAACTTATGTCGTCAGAGACATCAGTAATTTTACGAAGCAGCTCAGGCCTGGTATGCGATTTCTCTGCATACCCTAAGGACTTAATATATCCCCACAAGTAATAATCCAAGGGATTTAAATCGGGCGAGCGGGAAAAGTGTTATTTAAATACTTTTTGCAAAGTTCAATTAAACTGACACAACTACTCCGTCAACAAACAAACACCAGCGTATTAATCGGGCAGTACAACGTGAACGTGGACTTAAATTATTGTAAACAGTTGTTTTCATTCGAACATGTATTTTGTTTTATTTTTGTTAAATAAAAGCAATTTTCTAACAATATTGTAGTTTTTGCCCACTAAAAGTAAAAAAATCATATCTCGATAAGGAAGCAGTTACGGACCTATGTTCATACGACTTGTTCGACTCGAAGTGACTTGAGGAACACGCAGAAAAATTTTGTCCCTTACCTCGCGGGACATCGTGTATAATGGATAAAACAAAGAATAGGAAAATAATGGGCAAAATCCGCAAAAAGAAGGAAAGTGGATTCGAGCAGGAAACAGGATAGGTAACCCGAGCAATACGTATTTCTGCTTGTTGGCTTCATCAGGCCCAAATGAATGCACATATGCAACCACAAAAGTAGATACACATGTCCATACATCCGGATACGGGTGTAACCTGAGGAAACGAAGATGGAGAGGGAAAAAATGTGTGTTGTTATATACCTTTCTCCGCATCATTTTCTCTATATACGAGATATACAGGGTGACTTTGAAGTTGAGTCATTAATTTTCAGATAATGATTGTAGAAGGAAGATAAACCAAAATATGTGTAAAAATAAAAAAAAATTAAAAAAAAAATTTACCTTGTTTTATAAAGTATCCTCCCGACAAGTATTTCAGTGCGGACCTGTATTTGATCGTGAGGTCTTAGAGCACCGGCATGCCGTCCATATGTGAGGTCTTAAGTCAAATGATTCACGAACCCGTTGTACTACATTAACAAAGGCACGAGGGGTTGGTTGCACTTGATTGGGAAACCGATCCGCATAAACATGTGCCATTTTTTATTTCGTTTGAGCCACGCAACAGACACCACTATCCACTACCGACTGACACTGACTGAATACAACTGAATGAAATAATTGTAAAAACATCGTTCCAAATTCTTTCGCTTTTTTGTTTCCGATGCGATAAACCGATAAGGCGAATTATATCCGTTGTCGCCAAACACGAGCACATAATATTATTATTGAGACAGGGCGGTACTCAAACTTCCAAAGGGCTATAACTTTGTTACTTTAATTTTACCAGAAAAATGGTAAAGGAAAAAAACATTTCTTTTGATCAGATCTACTCACTGTTAAAATAAATGACTCAACTTCGAAGTCACCCTGTATAGCCTCTACTGCTTCCACGATGATTTGACACTAATTTCATATGCATATGGAAAACTAGGATTACTTTTCGATACATTAAAGCAAATAGTGTGCGACATGCTTTGTTAAGTAATAATTTTGTCGTTTGCAATACTTGAAAGCAGCACTTAAGGTAATAAATATATGACAAATGTTTGCTATATTGCAAATTTTATATATATCTTTGGGTGCTGTAATCGCGAAAAAACTTCAAATGGAAGAATAATTTTCAGATATAACATGGTAGGTACATTTTTTTTGTGGCGTTCGTCAGGTAATCCTTGGCCCTCGATTACAGACAGAAAAATAAGTATAGTTTTTGTCAATCAGTCCTGTTGCAATAGAGTAATCGGCAAAAACTAATTCAATTGCTCCTTCTATAACTTGGAAAGTATCACTGGATTTTGAAAAAAATATATGTCTTTCGTTTCTTTTGAACGCAGGTAAAATTCAGACTTCAAACTTTGTTTTTTTTATACTCCAACTACCACGAACGCCTAACGCCTAAACACCCATGGGGTACCGTGGGGCTATAGGGGGATACAGAGGAAAGGGGGGACGCCACACGGACTCTGGCGAGGGAACACGTGTGCATGCAACATGCACACATTTTGGCCCAGCCTACGAGATCCGCCGGGTGGTACCTCCGCGTTCGACAGTCAGAGACCGTTTACCACCTACGGACAGTTAGAACATCCATAGCCAAGAGAAAAATTTCTCCTGGGATGGGATTCGAACCCGCATAGCGCACCGCGGCTGATCAGGAGACCAAAGAGTCTACTACGGCGACCACCGCTGCTGCCTTGTCGATATACAGGGAATATAGTAATTTATTTTAACAGCCTGAGCTTGTAGAGCTCATCACAAAAAGTTGATATACCAAAAATCACCTAGATAAAAGTTGCATAATAAGAGAGTTAGTTTACATTATTAAAAATTATTTGCAAAAATCATTTTCAAGTTGAATGGATACCGTTTTCACAAAAACGGTTCAAAATTGTCCCCATTTGTTCGATTAACGAAATATCTTGCTGGACTCTTTACAAGCTATAAATAAAATCCTGCTGCCCACGATTTATCACAAGGCGTTAAATCCGGGGTAGGTCAAGAAATGTGTCCATTGTGTCCTATCCATCTATTTGGAAACTCATTATTTAGATGTTGGGGAACTTCTCGTCTAAAATGTAATGGAGCCCCATCATGCAGGAAACACATATTCTGACTCACATTTACAGGAGCATCTAATAATTGTGGCAGGTTTTGTCGTAGAAAATTTAAAATAAATTTCACCGGTCAGTCGAGGTGGAGAAAATTAGGGTCAAAAATCAAAACCATTTATTCATGCAACATACAGTCATTGTATGAGCACATGTCATTTAAGATACATTCACAGAAATATTTTAAAACGTTAAAGCATACTATAGGTTCCATTACATAACACATATATCAAGTGCATTCAAAACCAGTGCCTAAAATCTCTGATATCGAATATGGAGCAAGTTGTAGGAGGTATTGCTAAACACTACTTTTGAAGTTATTTAATTCGAGACTTTTGGTCTATGGAGGTAGTTTATTGTATGATTTGACAGCAATAAATTCTGGCCTGTTTTGACATTTCCTCAGTCGGCAGAAGATAGGTCTGATTTTGTTCCTGTTTCTTGATTCATATTTATGTATCTCGCTCTGAAGAGTGAACCGTCCTCCCGAAAAGATAATCCTGCTAGTATTCTTATAACTCTCCTCTGTAGCACAAAAACTCTGTTTGCATGAGCTGCTCCACCCCATGCCATAATTCCATAGCTCATTACATAATCAAATACCTGTAGTATGCTGATATTAGAACCTCATAAGATATGGACCTTTGAAGTCGATGAAGCAGAAAAACTGTTCCCCACAGCCTCTTACAAACAGCTTCCACATGAGGCAGCCACTGTAGGCGAGCATCTAGGTTTATTTCTAAAAATTTGATAGACTGCAGATCCCTATTACTCATGTCTCTGAGCCCAAAAATCGTTTTTTGGGTTTTGTCAACATTTAGCACAAGTTTGTTAGCCCGGAACCATTGTTCAGCCCTTATCTGTGCATCCATAGACCCTGCTCCAGATCAAGCATTCGTGTGCCATGTGTGAAAATTGTAGTATCATCAGCAAAGAGTGTGTAAATGGCATTGTTGTCACATGCCGGCAAGTCGTTGATGTAAATCAAAAAAGTATGGGGCCAAGGACTGAGCCCTGTGACATTCATATTTTTCAAAGATTCTCGAGAGGATTGGCAGCAGAGACACTGGACGGTAGTTGTAAATATCTCCCTCATCCCCTGACTTGAAAATGAGAATGACTATTGCGATTTTTAAAACATCGGGAATTATATTTTCTCGAAAGCATAGATTTATCAGCTTAGTCAAAGGAGGTATTATTATGTTCTTTATAGTTTTTATAAGTTGAACCGCTAAGCCGTATGTATCAGCGCTTTTCTTGTTCTTGAGTGAATTTATATGATCGCTAAGTTCATTTTGCGTGACCTCCTTGAACTGAAATATTGCATTGAGCATCAACAATTTTTTAAGGTTATCTAAAGGTGAAACATGCTTTCAGGTATTTTGTTTTTAGTATTCTATCTGAAATGTTACTAAAGAATTTATTAAACTGATCAGATGTCATTGGAGTCTTATTTTGATGTAATTTTCCTCTTTTCGTCTTACTGATATTATGTTTCACATGCGTCTAGTTGGGTTCTTTGATGTCTGTATCATTCTATCATTAAATTTACGTTTTGTGTTGACAATTTCCCATTTATATCGATTTTGATATTCCTTAAAAAAAATTTGTTACTTGGAGTTTCGTACTGCTTACATACTTCTCACAGAAAATGAACTGTGTCCCTCATATTTTTTAAGCCCTCATTGAACTAGTGTGCACACCCCGTTGGAGCTACGAGCTTTGTAAACCTTTTCGGGAAAAGACTGCAGATAAGCTTCAGTCAGAATATCCTGAAAAACACATTATCTAAACAATGTTCTCCTCTGGTTCCCTCAGTAAATAGCTTTTTTAGCCGATGACATTCCATAAGATCTTCTAATATATTTGCCTCCTTTTGAGTAGTTCCAAATAGGACATTGAAATCACCTGTGATGATAATATGTATTGGCATTTAAGTCTACCCGCTGCATAGCACTCTCAAAGAGTTTCAAAAAAGTATCGAAACTGCCCAAAGGCGACCGATAAATGCTGAAAACATATAGATTAAGTAATTTTATATAAATGCAACACAATTCAATACATTTTTCATCATTTATTTTTATGATGGCTTTAAAATCACCAAAATATTTTTCATTTAGCAGTAATAAAGAACCTCCTCCTATACTACTTGCTCTAGCGGTGAAGTTAGATACAAAATAGCAATTAATATTAAAATACCCAATTTCTTCATATTTAAGCCAATGCTCAGTTAAAGAGACTATCATAATATTTTTATCTGCTAAAAGAGCTTCTAGTTCATTAAAATTGCAATGCAGTATAGAGAATTCGTCAATATTTCTAGGGTTAGTTGGGCTAATTATCAATTGATCACCATTTCCTATGGCTCACGCACGCTCCAGTTGGCCATATATTAGGGTCCATGGCTCTATTGAAGTCTTTCTCTAGAATGTTGACCTTAAATGGTGTATATAGGGTGTTTCGGAGTGATGGCCTCAGCTATTGCATCTGGGACTGTTGGTTTCAGGTGAGCACATAGCGGGTCAGCTGTTGTATGTTATTTGTAGCTAATCGGGATACGTGCAGCGCTGCTTGTTTGGGGCCACCTTGAATTTTTTGGCGGCCAGAGCTCTTCCCAATGATGACGTTTCTTTTCTTTTTCTTTAACTCTTTCTGCCATTCGTCTGCTCGTATCTCCGTGGTAGTATATTCTGATTTATTCGCCTTTCTATAGAGGTTTGCAGTTTCTTCGTTTGTTGTCGCCGATTTGTTCGCATAATCATCTGATCGCAGTGCCGTATGCTCCGCTGTTCGATCTTCGTCCGCCGGCGCGCATGACGTCACGCTGAGAGTGATTCTCATTTGGGTTGATATGGATAACGAGCATATTTTCACCTACAGGCCAAACGGCTGGACGGATTTCCACATATGAGGTGTCGTTGGATTCGTTTTAGCGGTGCGAGTTACACTGGCTGCATCAAAATTTTATACAAATCAAAATGGTCGATTTTAATAAAAGATTTCAACCTTTTAATTCCTATTTCATAGTCTATAGCTGAAACGACTTGATAGATTTTTACATAAGATGTGTCGTTGGCTTCGTCTTAGCGGTGCGAGTGACACAAGATACATTAAAATTCTATACAAAACAAAATTGCGGATTTAAATAAAATATTTCAAACATAATTCATATTTCACAGGCTCGATAGATTTTCACATATGAAGTGTCGTTGGATTCGCCTTAGCGGTGCGAGTGACACTGGCTACATTAAAATTTTATACAAAACAAAATGGCGGATTTAAATAAAATATTTCAACCATGTAATTCATATTTCACATGCTATAGCTTATACGGCTTCCTAGCTCCACAATGGAGCGTATCGTCACTTTACTGTAAAAACAAGATACTCGTAACTTCATTTTTCTACATTACCTATATTTTAGTACGTTCTGTGGAGCAGAATTAAAATCCTCATGACGTTATTACTGCACTACATTTATCCTTATTTCACAGAACATCCTAAGTGCATGTAAGTGTGAAAATGTAGGCATCTCGAAAAGTAGCAAAATGGAGTTATCTTCCTTTTGCAGTAATCTGGCGGTAACAACAAATGGAAATGACTTAGTCTACGCACAAAATTTCCTTTTCCTTTTACTTTTATTCAGTTATTTGATCCGAAAGAACATTCTTGACCTGAAAAATAGTTTTTTAGCTTTTTCAGAGCAGTCAATGTTGATGCTCTTCAACAGAAGTTCGCCTATTAAATTTTGCTTTTCTGTCACTATTCCGTCCCTATCGAATGTAGTAAATACCTTGTTCAGCTTCTCAATTTGATTCATGAAAGCCATGGGGGGTTTTGATAACCCACCCTCACTAAGATGGCCTATCCAGGAATAAGTTTCATTTGAGGAACTTTTAAACTTCTCATCTTGCAATTTATGGCAAACAAATACGGCCAACTTTTCCAGCCCGTCATACTCAAGCTTATCTACTTCTTCCGCTAAAACTTCCTCGTTATAGTTCGCTGATACTTCAGGTTATAGGCACTTTCAGAAAAATGCTTAGAGCTTTTTACATTGACTTTGTCTTTTCTTTTTGTAATATGTAGCCATTTTTTGCTAAGGGTTCCATTTAGATTGGTTGTCGGAATTACATCCCACAACAGCACACCACATTTTTATCAATTTATCAAGCACACAGGGTGTATAAAGAATTTATAACTAATACAACAAGTCACAAAACCACCAACAAATCGCACTATATAGTATTAACCACGATATACGTGCACTGCAGTAACGTTACGGCAATCCTGCCGCTGGTAACCACGAGCCGACGACTCTCAAGGTGACGTCACGAAGCCCGCCGACATGCGCACCATCCTATCTTCAGTGTATGTGTATCGTGATCTGATCGTGACGTTTGTGATGACGTTCTTGATCTATCACGTGATGCTTGGACAATTATCGGTTGATGTTGAACAGTGGGCGTGACACTCTGCTTATAAGTGTCAGCGGAGTCTCCGTTGGTGGTAGCAGGAGCCCCTGACCTGACATTGTTTACTTTCTGATTCTCGAAAATGGGTTTCTTAACCTCATTTTCTACTTCTCGTTTCAGCAGGTCGATTATGGTGTATAGATTTTCTGTTGATTTTTCCAGCTCTGTGACCAGCTTTTTGAAGAAGTTGCTTCACTTTTCGCTAATGAAACACATGTAACATATGTTGTGCTTTTAGAAAAATTAAGGTTAGATCTAACATAGGTTTCAACTAATCCCAGAGGAAATTTTATCCTTCTTGGGTTCCTGAATCCGCCCCTGTGTCATGACCAAAACGTAACGTCCTTGACGAGCGCCACCAGCGACCTTGACAGGGATTGCGCAGAAGCTGGATCCGGTGAGCGCCCAGAACAGTACCGTATATTACGGGGTTCTTAAGGTGCGTTTACATATGACCACGGACGCACTGAGCAAAGGCGCACGCATTCGGTCGCGTGCGTGTAGAGTGTCTAAACAGGAATTCATTTTTCAACGCATGGGCAATCGTTCGCGTACGGAGAATAGACATACAGCCACGGCACCATTTATTATACTGTATAATTTAATTAAATAGAAAATCCGAAACACAGATCTCGTCGTTGGTGGATAACCGAATTTCTACGCAAAGGAAATAATAATTTATTACAGGACTTAATATCAGACAGTCTGGATACAGATCAATTCAGAAATTTTACAAGAATGACCAAGGCTGACTCTGAATACCTGCTTACGTTGGTAACACTAACGGTAATAAAAAATGATACACAATTTCGAAAATCTATATCACCAAGAGAACTTTTAGCCATTACCTTGCGTTTTTTTGGCAATTTTATACTTCCACAGCAGATTGCAATATATTTTCAGAGTATCAAAATATTTATTTTGCTTTCTCGCGACGAAATGATCCCATCAGACTTTTAATTTGTTTCTGTGCTTCGCAACAGCCTAAATTTTCAATACTGCAATTGATTAACTACTTGTTGCCATGCATCATTTTTTTTTTCGATTTTGAATAATACTCTTCGCGCCTAACGTCCCACAGTACTGGTAATTTCTGAAATTCTTGCAAGAGTTTTAAAACTGTAGTATTATGCAAACTCCATCATTTACTGGACTAAATACAATCAACTCTTCAATCCTGTGCGCCACGTTGTCGTTTCCGTCCACAATGAGTATTCGTAAACCCATTAATTCCTTTGAACAACGTCTTGAGACCGACACCGGGTGAATGGCATTCGCTGTTGCTCGCCCACAGGAAGATATAGGGTGAGCGTACTCGCATATCCGTTTACACGCCTTTGCGGTGGAGCAGTGCGTGCGTGCTCAGATCTAAACACACCTTGAAACTGGCAACGGACGGTGAGCGATAATATAATCAAAGGAACCAACGACTTACCTGTAGGATGTTCGTTCCAAATTATATGAGCTATACCCGCGCAATTAGATCACACACGTAGTAACACCATTTATGCTTTGTCGAGCACAACATATTAAAGCTACCTCGTATACAAACAAAATACCTATCTGTCTTGCGTTTCTTATCGGCCCAGGCATATGAATCTGATGAAGTCGAACTTCAAAAGAGTATTTACCTGGGAAGGGTTCAGGGTGGGAATCTAATTAGACGAGTATAGCTCATATAATCTGGAACGAACTTCCTACAGGTAAGTCGTTGGTTCCTTTGATTATATTTCGCTATACTCGTCCAATTAGATCACACACGTAGTTATTTAAAGTAATAATTACTCTTTTGGAACACTTGGTATTGCAAATAAATATTAATCAATGAGATCACTTTAATAGAACCAATTTCTATTGCAAAACTTATTTTAATTCAAAACATATGTATTCAAATATTTTAATACTACTAATATAACATTCCTATTATGTATATAGGAAAAAATGTCTTAATGTAAGGACTATATCCCTAACTACTAGCTTTTTTTCATTAAAATAGACTCCAAAAAATTGAATTTACTTTGCAGAGGTCTGTTATAGAACCTAGCAAATACTTCTGACTTTTTCGTCCAACCACCAAAATTCTTAATACTATCAATGTTCAATCCCGCTCTAGCAGCCGCTGACGTTGTTGCATGTCTGACACTATGGCTTTTAAATTGGTCAGTATTTATACCGCTGTTTTTAATTACATCTCCATCATCCAGCGGCTTATAGATTGCAGAGATGCTCTATGAACAGGATTCCGACAGGTTAAAATTAAATATTCTTCATTTCCCCTAATTGGTTGAGTTATCTCCAAATACCTAATTAATGTTTTTACAATACATAAATCAGGACGTTCGATAAATATATCAAATTTTAACACTGGCTGCTGACGATTATAATTTGATGTTTTTAACATATCGGTAATATAAATATCTATACCGTCCTCCCTATGTACTATATTTTTAACTTTAGAGATAGTTTGTATTCGAGGCCCAGAAGCCAACGTTAACAACATTACTAACTTTTCTAGTGACAAGGTTTCTAATGGATACCATTTTTCAATATAATCTAATACTACTATATTATCCCAGGTAATATTATATTTAGGAAAACTAGGTTTTTCCCGAAAGGCACCTTTTAAAAAACGCTTAATTAATTGCTCATCTGTAGATGAGACATTCAAAATTAAAGATAAGGCAGACTTATGAGCATTTAATGTATCATAAGAAATATTTGTCTCAAAGAGAAGGCTTAAAAAGGAGATAATATGACCAACACTTGCGACGTACGGTCTCAGTCTATTTTCCTTACAGTAAACCCACCATTTACGGAGAGTACCACTATATTGCCTCAATGTAGATTCACTTAATGATTTAATCATTAATGGTATAGCTTCTTCAGGAATTTCTTTTTCTATAAAAGATCCCCGAATAATATCGACGCCACTAGGCTAGTTCTAACTGGAGATAAAAGTAAGTTTTTATTGGGTTTAAGAATTAAGGGTTTGTTGATGGAAGTCTTAGAAACAAAGAAAACCATGATTGATTGGGCCAGTAGAGAACTACAAGAATTCCTTTAGATTTATCTTTAATTAGTTTATTCAAAACACGTCCAATTATGGGAAAAGGAGGAAACGCATAAAACTTCCAGGATTTATCCCATTTAATTGTAAATGATAGATGTTAAGGCTCCTGGATCTTTCAACCATGAAATATATGTATTACATTTAGCATTTATCCTAGAAGCAAACAAATCGATATTAGGCTTACCAAACTCTTTTACTATTTTAGAAAAATTCTTGCTATTTAACGAATATTCCATCTCAATATTCAAAATTCTCGATTGTTCATCTGCAATTATATTATCTTTGGATGGTATGAAGCATAGAGCATTATTTTCCGTTGTTCGCACCATAGCTACTTAGATTACTCAATTTCTCAAATTGTATGCCTCCCATTTTATTTATATAGGCTATGGCCGTTTTATTGTCTACACGCAGAATAATGTTGCAGTTTTTGACTCGGAAGCAAAACACTGCAATGCATAATAAATAGCCAAAAGTTCGAGAAAATTAATGTGATGTTTCATATCTTCTTGATCCCAAAACCCATGGGTAACTTCGGCACTACATGCAGCCCCCCATCCCGTTTTGGAAGCGTCTGTATATATTTCGTAAGTATATTTTTTACTACCCAAATCATTAAAAGATGTGTCTGTTGTCTGTTTCCACCACAATAGTTCCCTACAAATAATCTTTGGTACTATAATGTTTGCATTATAACTTCTCAATCTCTTTAAACTCAAAAATTTTGCTCGTTCTAATCTCTTAATATGCAACCATCCGTATTGTACAACCGGACAAGCTGAAACTAACAATCCAATAATACTTGATAACTCTCTTATTTTACATGTTCTCTTTCTAACAAAAGTATTAATTGCATTTAAAATTGCCTGTCTTTTTTATGTTTTGAAGATAAAATGTCATGTTCTGACTATTGTAAACATATCCTAAATATTCACAAACTTGACTCGGTTCAATTTTTGATTTTTTAAAGTTTATTAAAAAACCCAATTTTCTCAGATTGGACAACACTATAGCTATACTCTTATATACTTCACTTTTAGTTTTTCCTAGCAGTAAAATATCATCCAAATAAATTATACCCAGGATTCCGAGTTGCCTAAAATAATTAAATATTGGTTTTAAAAGCTTAGTGAAAACATAGGGTGCCGTAGATAAACCCATAGGCAAGCTATTAAATTCAAACAGTTTTTCGGCAAATTTAAGTCTAAGAGATTTCTTATCTGTATTATTTTTTGGTATCATATAATAGGCATCTTTTAAATCGATTGTAGCCATGTAGGTATTTCGAGAAATTAAATCTTTAACAGATTTATAATTATCCAATTTGAAATGAGGTGCTTTCAAGAACTTATTGAGATACTTTAGATTTAAACTAAAACGTTTTTTTTTGTCGGCTTTCGGTATAAGGAAATAGGGAGATAAAATTTGGTTCTCTACTGGTTGACATTGACTGATGACTCCCTTATTCATTAAATCCTATATGGCAGCGGAATAGTGTCTTATCCCATCTTCCTGCATGTTCTTTGGAAGATAACTATATTAAAAAGGATTTTTGAAAAATGGCATCTTATATCCCTTGACCCACGACAAAATGGTCTTATCCTTAGTAAATTACAGCCAATTTTCCATATAATGTTTTATTCTGCCACCATATACACTGGTACCCACCTCTATTTCGGGTCATTGCGTCTCTGGTACACTTTGTCGTGGCGATCCTTCCCTTGAACCCGGTCTCTTCCTTGAGGGCGACCTTTCATTCTTCCTTTGTGGAAGTGAGGCTGGTAGTTTAAAGATACCGAAGGTCTCTGCATGAGGTTACCTCTGAAGAACTTATCAGCAAAACGTTATTTGAGGTAGATGGCAGCTGTCTTGACGAAGATGGATGAGCATTCTTCATTTCTTTCCCCATTCTCCATTGGGCCTTAACCTCTTTGAATTTATCGGCAAAATTTCTACCACACAAAAATTCGTCTGGTTTACTTTCTCTGACGATTTTCTTCACTGTAGAGTTTAAGTGCCCTTCTACGTGATATTTCCGGTTTGTGGACATCATGTGGAAAACGTCACACAAAATTTTGGCAGCGTCCACCACACTGGGTAACATTTTGGATTTAAAAACCATCGAGGCTGCATCCTATGCAGCTACATCTTCTTTCAACATACCATCAATTACCCCTGCGATGGCAGCAAGTGCTACGCCCACATGCTTCTGAATAGTCCAACACCTCCTTGTCCGATTTGTCTAAACCTAATGTCACGTACTTGGTCCATCGATCAGCCAGAGATTTGTGAACCTCACTTCCTGATACTGGCTCACTTCCCGACGGAATTTCGCCCAGGAGTCTGAGAATTTCCGGATTTTCATCTTGAGATTGTTCTTCAATTACAGGAAGAGACCTCTCTGCCTCATTCATTTTGACTTTTGGCTCTAAATGTGTATACGTTTGTCCCGTACTATATACACTGCTTATACTTCCCGATGAATCAGAATCCGAACTGGATTCACCTAAAAGATATATACAGACCTTACCTACTTGCGCATGCAATATCCTTAACATATTTTGTAGAATAAGTCATGGGTTTAACGGTTCTACCCAATATTTATAGATTTTTCACGTTATGTGAAACTTCAAAAGGTTTTAACGGTTCTAGCCCATCCCTAATCCATTAGGTTTAACGGTTTTACCTAATAACAACTTACTAGTGCTCTTACACCTATCACCTCGCCGACTTGTCAATTTTCTCTAAACTCTTAGGCTCGTATCGTCAGTCGTCCCTACAATTGTAGGGCGCCTTTATGGCCTCCTTGATTGTCAAATTGTCATAGTTTTCTACTTCTCCGTGTCAGCGCTCTATTTTGAGGTTATGTCACAAACATCTATTTGCATCAAATTGTGCTTGCTTTTGAGTTATATCATGTTTTATCAGCCTGAAATTTCCTACAATTTAAAAAGAAAACATATCTTTACAATAGGAGAGCGCTGACGCTGACACGGGACAAGTGTAATCTAGAACCTTTTGAAGGAGAGAAAGGAGTATGACAATCAAGGAGGCCATAAACGCGCCCTACAATATTGTAGGGACGACTGACGATACGGGCCTTAATTAGTTTTCGCCGTTTTCTCTCCAATCTTGCAGCATCACTCATTGTTTTTCG